TGTTAAAAACTCATATACGAACATGCTGATGATTAGAATATAGAGTAGTTAGCATGCTAATGTTAGCATTATAACCTACAGTTATGTTAGCTTGCTAACATTTGCCCGACGACGTTCATCAGCTGGTCTCTAATTGTGTCTGTCTGATGTTTGCTGGTAAGCAGGTAGTGTACAGTGGGGTTTTATAGCCTTTCCACTGAAAACAACTGCCTGCTGTGGCCGAAAAACGACAATATGAGAGCGGCGAGAGTGAACTAAAACAGTAAAAGTAACCGGACAGCTAAACAATGAGCTGAAACTCACACTAAAGCTCCATGAAGGCGAGGGGAGCTGCAGATTCAGCAGTTAACTCTGTGTAGGTTCATCACCACCAGAGACCCCCTTTACATTGTCACACTGTTTTCACATTATCATTTGATATATTATTATAGACAAAACATCAAACTTTAACTTGGTATGTAACTTCAGTGGTAGTAAGTTGTCATCCGAGCTCAGCTGTTGTTCAGAATTTGATCCAGATCTCAGTTGTTTGCCTCCCATCTCCTCCCTGAAGGCTTGCTGCATCCATCACTGCCAGCACACAGGCAATCTCTGGCACTTAACAATATTTTCCTTATTTGTTCAGTAACTGAGGGAAAATTCCAGCAGTTTCTGTTTTCAGTATAGAGTATGGAAGTTAACACTTAAACCTGTTACAGATAAACCTGAGCAACAACTAACTGTGACCTTGCAAATATAGTTTCATTTCACTCAAAAAGAACATGGCGGAAACAAATCATGCAGGTCCAAAAGGGATAGGCAGATGGTTCCAGTTAGACTGTATTTACAGACAAACAAGTAAGTACTGCTTATTAGCATTCCACTCAAAGCTACTGCGCCGCACTAAAAATAACCTAAATGACTTTGCTCTTCACTCAGACCAGTCTGAGTGTGAGGCGCTCAGCTGCAGTCGGCCTCAGGATGAGTTTCTGTGGATGTGTTCAGAGGAATGTGTCACGCTCAGCAGCTTATTTATTCATGATCTGAACACAGAGAACGGTGGGTGCCTGGAATCCGTTTCTCATCTCTGAAAGTAAGAGGAACACATGTCACCGCCCACTCAGTCAGAATCCCTCGATGGCCCGGTGCAGTAAATGTTGAAGTCTTTGTCTTGGTGACATTGATGCAGAGTCATGTTGACAGCTTACTGCACACTTACACACATCAGGAGCAGTACAGTGCACAGGGACTGACGAGTTGTCTTTATGAAGTCCACTGGGGAAATCAAGCTAAAAGCCTTTAAACTAAATGAAAAGATGCAGATCAGATGAGTCAGAGAAGTCATTTTTAGGCTTTGAGCGGCAGAGATTTGCGTTTGAACTAAAGGGAAGTGAGAAAACAGCATCAGGAAGAAGTTCCTAATATTTTATATAAACTGTGTGTGTGGCTGTGGCTATATTCTCTGCTGTCCTCTTTAATAGACATTGTTATCGTGATTTGAGGAACTCCCTCAGCCTAGGCTCACAAACTGACATCTGCCATTAAAGTCACCCTCCAGTAAATATTGTTCTTCTACTTTTTCCTACAGTCGGGTGTTTGAGCTTCACTGTGCAGAATTTCTGTGTTTGACGCTGATGTTTTCACATTCATCTGCTGACAGTGGAAAGTTTCTGTGTGCTCAATGCAATCTGATCTTAAGGGACAGGGCGAGCAAGCGTGCATTGTGACATCACAGATAGTCTGGAAGTCAGTCCTGGTCCAGTATGCTGCTTATACAAATGTGATGTAGAAACTTGAAGCCACCAGTGCACATACACTGAGAATGGACCTTTCAGCTTTTTTATCAGCAACAGCACGACAAACATGACCTTGCCTTTCTCTTGAACAATTTGTCAGCACACAGTCTGTAAAAATACTGTATTTAAACGTTGGGTTTCCCCCCCGGGACGATAGTTGATACCTGTGAGATCACAGTAATACCTCTGGAGATGCAATTTGTCAAATAACTGGTAAAAAAATGCTGTTTATATTTCCCTGCTAAGGTTTGTGCTGAAAAGTCATATGATCAAGTTGTGGAGTAACGTACAGAGTGTCAAGGTTACGAATAAGGCTAGGAGAAACACAAATGATTGTGGAAACAGACTGCAATACAACACCTGAATGCCATTGGATGCATGTGTTGGGATTCAGCAGAGTTGGGAGTTGAACTTTGGATGCAAAACCTAGTGTAAAAACAGACCAGTGTGTCGTACTGGTCAGAGTGCAGCCACAATCTGCATTTAAAGATTGTTTTGTCCTCAGAGCTACAACTTCATTCAGTATATACACATCATTCACACCCATATGACTCAGCGTCTGCTGCGTGCGTACATGTGGGTGTGTATCTAATAAGGAGGTGTAGAGCAGGAGGACAAGCGTCCCACTGAGCTTCCTCTGACTATAAAACACAAGTTGGCCACGGCGCTGAGCGTCAGGTCCACCGACTGCACCACATCAGGTAAACAGGTATTTATTGCTGCCACATCACATCAGCTAAAGGTACATCACTACCCAGTTTCCTAGCAACATTCTCCATTAAGTCCAGCGCTAATGAATTCTTGCTGTGCTGCTCTGAATTCGGAGGCAGCAAAGTCATACCTGGCGGTGTGTGAGCAGTGATTTGTTTGGCCACCGAGCGCAGTTGGTCGTTTCAGCCGCAGGTCACTTCTTCTGCACAGCAGGATTGTGGGAAGTTAGAGCTAAAGTTGCTGTGAAACTTTCCCCATCATTTAAGCTGGTAACAAATGTGTCCTGTGACTGCGTGGGGTACAGTTGTTGCACTTTGATGATGGTTTTTCTGGGTTAGACTGAATGGAACTTATGATGCCACTTTCTCATATAACAATCAACAGTAATTAGTTAGTCAAGTGACTCAGTCGGCCATTAGTCCACAGAGCAGGATAGATAATCTGTGTAAACAGGCTACACATTCCTCCAACACCCACCAGAATTAAAACCTTAACTCCTGTTTCTTTCTTTTTTTTAGCTTTCTTTCTCTCTCTCTTTTCCCTCCTTCCTTTTCCCTTCTTTCTACACACACACATATATAACAATACATTAAATTACACCACATTGTTGTTGTTTTTATCCATTCTGTTTATTAATTTTTTGTCATATTCACGCCCCGTCTTTGTTCTGGAGTGGCAACACCAGATTGTGAATCTGTAAACGCACAATCTGGTTAAATAAAAGAAGGAAAAGAGAAAAACAAAACACCCACCGGCTCTCAGATCGAACCCCTCCATGTTTAAAACGTGCCGACAGAGATGCTGCACAGGAATCATGCACAGTTATTTTCCATTAAAGGCAAAAATGAGATACGCTTGCAAGAGTGCGAGAGAAGAACGTTGAGAAGAAAAAGAGAAAAAATATATAAAACATAAATCCTAAATCCTTTAAAAAGAAAAAGGCTGCATGTTATATATTGCTCAGAGCCTCGCTGACATATTATGTCTGGAGGCAACAAGACGGAAAAAATAAATCAGACCAATTTCCCCAGCAGGAAAACGTGGATATAAATAATAGTTAAGTGCCGTCCCAGCCTATTTCATCCCTCAGTGAAAACTAGATTAGTAATTTAATTTGGTCCGGTGCACATCTGAATTTAATCTGTGGCCAATTTGTTTAAAGAAGGAATGCCAACAGCTTATCTAATTCCACCAATTGTCCATTTATCTATTTAACCGTCAGATTTATTTGAAAGCAGCCTTACTGTAACACAAAGGTTACTGACAAAAAACATCGGCCTCACTGAAAAGCCCTTGAGCAAGGCGATGAGTCAGGGTTGTGTGGCTGTTTTAACTTGCAGTGACAGTTTCTTTTTATAGATCAATAAAAGAACATTACAGATCTTGTTTATCTCTGAATGCACTCGTTTTTCTGCTTGCTCACACACATATGATACTCTGGGTAATTATTAAACCCATATTATGGAAACTGCTGTGACACAGTTCAGAGACGAAAAATTTCATAACAGGCTGGTAAAACTTGATATGTGATCATTGAAGTTATTACTATTACTTATTTTTCTCCAAACAACATTATACGACATCAGACCATGTAGAGCAACTGCTGTAGCAACCGATTTAAGAGCTGCTTTCGTAATTTTACATATTTGTATTGAAACGTAGAATAAAACTAATCTGAAAATGTGAAGGCAGTTTTAACTAATTACCTCATTCAGCATAATTAACCTATTAATCGACTATTTTGGTGAAACTACAATCTAAACGGGTGCACAGAGATTTATTCTTGACCTTGGAAATACATATTTGTGTAAATTCTAAACTTTCAACCACATGCCATGTTCTTCTTCGGCGAAAAATAAATATGGAACTTCTGTCATGTGATAACAAAACCATTTCACAAAGTTTAATACTTAGTCACGTGATGACACCTGAGCGTATTACATTCACTGGAGAGGGCCGTGGGACACGTTTGAAAGTTTCAGAGAAAGCTAGTAAGTAAACCTTTAGTAATACTTTATCACAGATGCAATACAATTGAATGGGTATTCTGGAGACTATTCATTTAAGTTATACAAACAATTCTTTGAGGCAGAAATCTCACACAACTTCCACTTGGTCATGAATGCCCTGAATAGTTGACGCAGAAACACATCTGGTGTTCAGTCTTAAAACTCAGCATGCAAACAATCCACATATGTGTTGTGATTTATGTCTGCAAAGTCTACAATTTCTAAGTTAATGTAAGTAAAAATCACAAAATATCTGCAAAGCTTTCATTAATTTACGCAAGAAGCACCTCAGAAGATGTATGTTAATAGATTAATGGGCTTGGAGAAATACAGTGTATATGGAATACTTGGGTGGTATTTGTATTTGTAGGGAATTATTTACCTCCATAGAAATATAGGTAAACCCTGGTGTGCCTGAAAGTATATATATAGAAATATGTTTATGTTTTCTCTGCTGCAGTCGGTGGAGCGGAGGACCTGCGGCGCTACTGGTCCGACTACCTGAGAAGGACTCACGTTCTGGTGTATGTGGTGGACTCCTCGGACAGGAGCCGCTTACCATTGGCTAAGGCTGAACTGCACCGCCTGCTGAGGGTGGAGCCCCAGCTTCCCGTGGTCGTCCTAGGAAACAAGCAGGTAACCCAGATGTCCCGTCTATCTGTTCTTAAAGGACCAACGCAGTGGTTTTCGCATGTTTTAGCTCATTTAATATAAACCAAGCCCAAAATACAAACCTGTGATTAAGAATTTTGCAAACCTTGTTGTGTTTTAGATTTTTATTAGATTGTTTTTCTACCATTATTGGCAGCCAGCCTGCATCAATTCAGTTACAAAGTCAGTTACATTGTTATTGAGTGATAATGCAGTTCAATGCAGGCTAATTTTAAAGTTTCCAGAGTGTGCCAATTGATTTTGAAACCATATGGAAACCAATGACTGCCTGCTAACAGTAAAAATATACATAAAACAATCTAAAATGGTAGTATACATACAGTAGGCTCTGGTTAATGACATAAAACTGACACAAATACTGGTATGAACCTTTAAGCTCTTCCTGTGAATATTAAAGGACGATATTGGTGAAAATAGAAAAGGAAACAGGACGTTAATAGTCAGTTCTTCTTTAAAGTTAGTACTCACCTAAAAAGCCATCACCCTCTGGTAGACTGATATTCTGATAAACAAAAATCAGTTTTCAAATTTCAAGCAGAAGTGCACAAAAAAGAGCTGATGTGTCGGAGCGAGCAGGTCTGCGTTGTTTCCTCTTCATTTATCCAGCAGTGATGATCCATCACACTCCTGAAATAAACATTTCCACATTTCCTCCCCTGCTCATATTTCTTCACTTTGCGCGGCCCTTGTGGAATTATACATGACCCTTCGAGGGAAGCGGGAATATTTGTCAAATCTGCTGTCAGCACTGCAGCTTTCATCCTCTCAGCACAGCTACTTGCCATATTAGCAAGGGAGGAATCTGATATAAAACTCTGTTCACTCGTTGTTAAGTCATTTTAGTTAGGCTTAATCTCACAATGGTTTGTACAGAGCAGGTGCAGTCAAGTTTTGCAGTATCACGGTCAGAACATCTGGAACAGAAGGCATATTGAACACATTTTTCCTACTTTCATCTTTAGAATTAATAAGGAAACTTGTAACATCAAACAGAATATCTATTATAGAAAGGAAAGACAGACATGCACCCTTTAACCTATTCACTATTGATGTGAAAGAGGCTAGAAAAATCTCTCTTTCAGGTTACTAACACAGGTAAGCTTTGATGTTATACATCAAAATGTTCAAAATAAATAGTTCCCAGTACGCATATCTTTGGTGATTTGCAAGTCAAAAGACGGGTAGGCATCTAGGTTAAAAGTGGGCTAAATTTGGCTGAATAATGAATGTTAATTAGACTATGTTTATGTCTATGTTACATAAACCATTGTTTTGACATCAATTAGGTAAGTGTTTTATCATGTATTTGGATCTGCTGCACATTAAAATACAATAATTTAAATAATATATATATATATATATTTATCAAAATGTCTTTGTTAAACACTCACAACCAAACTATGCTAGCGTAGCTGCGAGTGACAAAAGTGTAACATTCCCTATAGCTGCAAATGGAAGCTGTGTATTGAGATATAGAGCTGGACAGTGGAGAAATGTATTTTCTGAGTGGTTTCATCATATAAAAATAAATCACTGGACTCAAGTGTGTTATGTGTACATGGATGCTAAAAAATAAAAAATCACAAGGACACCACTCCAATTCTGGCTTCTGCACAAAACATCTACTCAGGAATTAATCACTGAATTGGAGTGCTGTCCTTTTGTTTCCCAGAGTACACCATGGGTATGGGTATTGATTAATGTACTGATAAAAACACTTGAATCAGTTGGTTTTTAAAGCAGTCTACTGCCATAATGTATAACAATAATGTAACTTTGCCAAAAATAAAAGAAGACGTGTTGTTTACTTTAATGGCCACCAACCTCAAACAAGTTTCTTCCACACTGAAATGAATGAAAGTCAATGGTTGCCTGTATGAAAGGCAAAAACCTTCATTCAGCTTACAACAACTATAGTTCGCGTTGGAAAAAAACTGGAATGGACTGTCTCTAATATAATCAAAGTGCTCCAAACTTTTGACTGTTATTGAACTACGGCCTGAACCGTTGTCATGCTGTGCACATGACGCAGGTGTAATAAAAGAAATAATGTCTTCAGTAGGAGGAGCTCTTTTTGACAGTGATACCGACTCTCACCCACCATCGCTTTGTTCTCTGCCTCAGCAGCTCGCTCTGTTTAAACAGTACAAAGGATGTTCCCAGCAGAACCTGTGAGTTAGAAGCGATGTGGTGGTGCGAAGAAACGAGGCGGACATCTATAGACTCTAGCCTGGGTTGAATGGTTTGTGTGGGAGGGTGGCGTTAAATCCACTGTCTTCAAACGCAGGAGTTTGATCAAAACTGAGCCAACCAACGTTTGAAAGTATGACACGTAGTTATTTGTAATGACACAGTGAAGTATTATGTAAGTTAATTTGGGGAAGTCAAGTCAGCTTTTTGAGGTGGAAAACATCTGTTGATTATTTATTTATACTGCAATTGTACAGCTTTTATTTATTTGGGATAAAGTCAAAACTAGACCACTTGTATGCTTGAAAGGCTCTCAAAGTGTAGCTTTATTCTGCACAGAGGACTGTCAGCATGAATTAACTAGTTGTAGCTGATTCCAATGTTAGCCCAGATTGTGTTCTCTGTCTTATATTTACCCAGATAACTGTATTTTAGCCAAACAGTAATTTTAACCTAATTGTGCCAAAACATAGCTCAATACACAGATTCTGTCTAGTATAACAGGGTCAGTTGCTCGTGTTGAAACTGTAATAAGCTAAACATAGTTCCCTCCCACAAAGATGTAACACCTAAGCTCAAATTGAAAGTGTAGGCTATGCTGAAAATGTGAGTATAGGGCTGATAGAGTTGGACCGTGGAGAAGTTTCAATAGATATTTTTATTTACATTTCTATACCTTTCTATAACATTTGTATACATTTTTACACAAGAAAATCTCATATCTGTCATTTTGCAGATGGCCATTGTTAATATAATTCTTAATAAAAGACAATTTTATTTATTAAGCACATTTCATTACAGGGAAACAGTGTGCTTTTCATTGAAATGACATGAATAGACATAAATAAATTCCAAGGTCAAACAACACTAACTACTTGAGCCAATGTCTCGTATATGCACGTTGCATTGGTTATTGTCTTTGAAACAAGGAGACAGACTTTTTGTTGTCAAACTGAGTTTAACTGCTTTTACGCTGTTCCCAGGATAAGCCCAATGCTGTGAGCGTGTCGGAGCTGCATAAAGCCTTGTCTCTGGACTCCGTGACCGAGGACAGGAAGCTGTTCCTCTTGGCTGCCCAGCTGGGCTCTGACGGAGCCCTGAGGAACTCCTGCCGGGGTCTCGACACCTTCCAGGACCTCCTGCTCCAGCTCGTCTGATCTCACCTCCCCCCCGCAGTGTAGAAGAGTAGGAGATGGAGGGATGAAAAAACAAAGGGATGGCTTAAAGCAATCTTCCTCCTCCTCTTCCTCTTCCTTGTCACTGTCAGATGACATGGTGACGACTCGAGGGGCCTCGCTGCTGCTGCCACACACACAGTCAATCAAACTTTATTGATACAGCTGTACAGTAACAGGACAAAAAGACAACCTGAAGAAATATACACAGATATTTTTGATTGTCACATTAAACTTTGCATCATTAAATGTTTAAATAGTAATCAATTAAGTTTCACTCACACACACACAATGTTTACCTGAGGGTTACTACTTTTTGTTGAGGTGCATTCTGGGAGTTCTGAGCACTGCTGGGAGGATGGAGGTCAGCGAGTCGCTGCCTCATCCTGATGGTCAATTCTGGACTGAGACGCCACACGAAGATACAGCTGCACACACACACACACACACACTCCATTAGTTTTCTAAAATAAAAAAATGATATACATATATAATCTATAATGTTAATGTATATATATATATATATTAATGTATATTATGAATGCATATAATGTATAATGTTGGAAGGTTACCTGTCTCCAGACACTGTGATCAGATGTCTGCAGTCACTGCTGAACCTCACACCTGTTACTATCTCTGACAGACAGAAAGACAGTGTTAGTGTGAAAGAAATATTACATGCAAATATTAGACATTCATTCATTAACAGACCAGTATAACCAATATATAAACCAGTATATAACAGTATATAAACCAGCATAACCAGTATATAAACCAGTATAACCAGTTTATAAACCAGTAAATAAACCACTATAACCAGTATATAACCAGTATATAAACCAGCATAACCAGTATATAAACCAGCATAACTAGTATATAAACCAGTATGTTAACCAGTATATAAACCAGTTTAACCAATATATAAACCAGTATATATACCCGGATATAGACAGTATATAAACCAGTACATAACCCAGTATAACCAGTATATAACCCAGTATATAACCAGTATATAAACTAGTATAACCAGTATATAAACCAGCATACTCAATATATAAACCAGTATAACCTGTATAACCAGTATATCCAGTACATAACCAGTATATAACCAGCATAACCTGTATAACCAGTATATAACCTGTATAACCCGTACATAACCAGTACATAAACCAGTGGTACTGACCGGAGTGTCCGAACATCGTGGCCACACATTCTCCAGAGTAGAAGTCGAATATACTAATGTTCTTATCTGAACAGGAGGCAGCGATGTAGAGACCTGATGGGTCAATCTGCACCTGAGGAAGAGGAAGAGGAGGAGGAAGAGGAGGAAGAAGAGAAAGAGGAAGAGGAAAAGGAGGAGGAAGAGTAAGAGTAGGATGAGGAGGAAGAGAAAGAGGAGGCGGTCATGAATCATTGTTAGCTGTTGTTACCATGGTAACAGCAGCAGACAGACTGTGATTGGATGAAGACTTACCTTAATGAGAGTCCCGTCTTCACCCTGAGAGCCTTTATACAACTTCTTCTGTTTCCCATTACTGATATTAAAGATCCTGCAGGAGGAAGAGAATCATCATCATCATCATCACCATCATCATCAATACCATCAATATCATCAATACCATCATCAATTCCATCAATACCATCAATATTATCATCAATACCATCATCAATACCATCAATACCATCAATACCATCAATATCATCATCAATACCATCAATACCATCAATATCATCATCAATACCATCATATCATTATTCATACCATTCAATATCATCCAATATCACCATTCAATACTCAATTATATCAATATCATCATATCACCATCATACATCAATTCAGAATCAGAAATACTGTTAATAATCCAGGGGGATATTACTTCGTTACTACACTCCATAATCTACATACAACATATTTACATACAAATATAATAATTATTAAGAACATATTATATTATAAATATATATATATAAAATATCTATATACACATGGTGAAGTGATAAAATGTACAGTTTGAAATAATTGCAAGAAGAAGAATCAGTGCTAGATAGTGGTAGTCTGTAGTTTTGGTTTGAAGGGTCCAGATATACAGGCTATGTAGTCAATTGGTGATGTCCTGTGATGTTATGTTATTGGTGATTGCAGAAGGGTCTGTATTTTGGTGTCAGTGGTTAAGTGGGTTGGTGTCTGACTCTCTGAAGGGAATGGCGTTATAGTAGTTTATATGACCATCAGGTCAGGATAGAATTTCCGTGAATATGTGCGCTATCAATTGTGCATCTGGTGAGATGGATGTCTTGCTGCTGAAGGAGCTGCTCTCTGCTGAGCAGGTGTCGTATTGGATAGAGGGTGAGAGTACAGTTGGTTTTCCAGGTATGGACTTGGAGATGGCTCTCTTGGACTAGTCATCCTCTCTTGAATTGCCATTCAAGTTTACGGAAGACGCACGTAGATGGTAATATGTTATAGATCACCAGTCTCGTAAAATACAAGAGTCTACATTACTCTATGTCTCGAATATCACATCTTCTTCATTTCCAAGTTGTGTCCATGGTTCGATCAAATACTCCATCTAGAAGTTTCACCATTCATACCTGCAATACCATCAATTACCTTCAATATCACCTATTCCAATACAGGATCAATTTATTCATCGCAATTACGGATCAGATAATCATTTAATACCATTCTCAAGATACCATCAGATGCACCAAGTAACCAAAGAACAGGTTGATTAGTGTTGTCAACGCGGATCAGGCAAAATATATGGTGTTAAATTCAGATAGCCCGAATAACTCATAAGTCGTAAGTGAAGTGCGATTCGATACTTTTTATTCGATCTAATCAGTAGAAGCATTCGCTGATGCGTTTATAGTATTATTATATTGACGGGTGGTCAGCATGATTAAATCATCATACTATCTGTAGCAGGTAAGAAATAGTGGAAAGAGTATTTCTCTCAAACGATGAGTTTATAGTATGGTGTTTCACTTATTTGTCGATATATCAGGAAGTATTCCTGAATAAAGTGAATGAGTTTAGTGATGAAAGTAACAATGATGCTTTTGAGTCTAGCTAGGATTCTGTAACTAGGTAGCATGTCGAGTGTAATTGTTATGTGAGAGCTGTGGGATTTTATGGTCGATTAGAGTTAACCAATTTTGTTACACACTTTTGACCATATATTGAATTTATATAGGTTGAAATTAATTTAGAATGTAGTCCTGAATGTTATTAAGTTGTTGATCTTTCTTTCCTTTCATTGGATTGTTGTTGTTGAGAGATAGGCTAATTTTTCATGGTATTCGAAGCGTGATTTCTATGTTGAGTGTGTAAAGTGTATGTATGTATATTAGGTTCCTTATACATTTCTGTAAAACCAGAAAATGGTCGTATTGATCATAAGTACATACTCGTGCTTTGCGTATTCTTGGGTCTTTGCTCTTGTTAAGAGTGCGGTTGGAATAATGTGCAATCATTGATTATTTATTTATGCAAATAATTCCATTACTGAATGCAAAACATAGGCACATGCTTGCTGTAGTAGTGGATTTAATCATTTATAGCCTATAGACAATTTAGCATGAATGTTTATCTTTGTCATGCCTTGATTTTATTGCAGCTATGTCACCGGTATTTTTTGAATTGAACCGTTTTAGTGGTGATAACGTTTTCAGGATGTTAATAGCCGTAGGCATGCTATAAGTGGATTAGCTATTATCGCAGGGACTAAGTCCGCATTAGTTTAGCTGTCAAGTGTTGCTGTCGTGATAGCCTCTTTCAATACGTACAACGGTGTGAAAATAGTTGACTTCTCCGGTAATCATGAAGTACATCATAGCCCGTGACTCAATGCCGACGACTTGCAGATATTATTTGCCCATGATATCCAAACGAATATGAGACACTGCACTTACTTAGCTGCTGACTGGCATCACAAGATTATAATATGCAGTGCTGGTCATTAGAACGTTTGTTACACTTAAATGACAGCAAAACTAGAGATGGCATTCAGTCTGTTTTGGTTGCACCATTCCTATTGTCGGAATAGTTATGCTCCAGCAACTCTGGCACTCTTGGCAACGCCTTATTTATGGAACATGCGGTATGTCAAAAATCTTGCTATTGGTTTGAACCATTTTTGAATGGGTCTACATATTGATCAAACAGATATGTGGCTGTTGTCACGCTCAGTTTTTTCTAGCTCCGTACTTTTGGCCAAAACGTATAGTCTCTCTTTCTTACGAGTCAGACCTGTGAGTACTAGCGTTATCGATGTTTCATCATTCTAAGACTGGAAGCTTCTACTTGCTGGAATGCCAATTGTACGTTGACCAGTATTGGTCATTAAATTTTTTTTCTGTCGCCAATACTTGTGCATGAACGCTGTTGGTGCCCGATTTGTAACAAGACACGTCATGGCTTTTGGTGAACACATCTACCCCTCGAGCTGTGTCCATCACACTGGTTCTTCCAGCTGTTAGAATTGATTTTTGAAATCTTGACTGTTTGTTTTTTATATTCGTTATATTGCTTGATGACATCTTCTCTTATTTTTT